ATGTAAAAAAATACATTAGGAAAGAATAAAAGTTTAAAATTGACAATCTAAGCTTTCACTTTAAGAAAATTTTTAAAAGAGAAAATTAAACCCAAAGTAAACTGGGAAGGGGTACAAGGATCATGAGGAAAATGTTACACTGTAGTCCTCCCTTCTCAGTTTTGCATTCTATGCTTTCGGTTACCTGCTGCCAAATGAGGCTCAAAAATCATAAATGGAAAATTCCAGAAATAAACAATTCATAAGTCTTAAACTATGTGCCATTCTGAGATTCTGAGTAGCACGATGAAGTCTCACACTGTCCCTCGCCATCCAGCTCCAACTCCTTAGTATGGAAATAACCCCTCTGTTTTATGTATCCCACCCAATAGTCATTTAGTAGCCATCTAGGCTATCAAATCTGTCAAATCAAACACTGTCGCAGTATTGCAGTGTTTGTGTTCAAGGAATGCTTACTTTACTGAACAATGGTCCCAAAGTGCAAGAGTAGTGATGCTAGCAATTCAAGTATCTCAAAGAGAAGCTGTAACGTGCTTCCTATAAGGGAAAACGTGAAAGTTCTAAACTTAATAAGGAAAGAAATCTTATATTGAGGTTGCTAAGACCTATGGTAAGAAAGAATCTTCATGAAATTGTGAAGAAGAAAAAAGAAATTTGTGCTAGTTTTGCTGTCACATCTCAAACTGCAAAAAGTTTACAGCCACAATGTGTGAAGATGGAAACTGCATTAAATTTGTATATGATTTTTAATAGGATATTTTGAGGGAGAGATAGGCCACATTTACATAACTTTTATTATAGTATATTGTTATAATAGTTCTATTTTATTATTAGTTGTTGTTAATCTCTTATGTGCCTAATTTATAGATTAAACTTTGTTATGTACATATGCATAGGAAAAAACATAGTACTGTATAGGGTTCAGTACTATCTCCAACTTCAGGCATCCACGGGGGTCCTGGAAAGTATTCTCTGAGGATTAGGGGAGACTACTATATGTCTTGATGGTGGTGATGGTAACGGGTATATAAACATATCAAAAAAACCATTAACCAAACACATAGAAATTTACACTTAAATGGATGCACATTACTGTAAGCACATTTTACTTCAATAAAGTACATTTTTAAAGAATGATGCAAAGTTCAAGAAATAACTTGAACTTTTAGCTGTTTTAGCAATACAAAACTTGCAACAACAGATTATTAAGTATGTTTGATAACTGATAATCTGTTTCTTTAAAAAACTATCATGAAGAACTCTGATTATAATTTAGTGAAAGAATTGAATATAATATACTCACCTACTTGATTACCTCCTAGTTTTACAGGTTCTGTTTCTAAACTATTTAATTTGCCACTTTCTTGGTTGTCATTATAAGCAAAAAGACTGTGAGATAACTGATTTGCAGTCAGGTTTGCATGAAGCTTTTGAATTTCTGCCTCTTTTATTGCAAGCTTAATCCTGGCACAAAAGAAAATAAACCAAACATTAGAAAGATTCTAGAAAAGTACCTTATAGCTGTCACCTTTTCAAATTAAAAAAATTTTAATTAAAAAAAGTTTTTAAACTCTAGTATTAGTCTACTATTGGCTGGACAGAGAAATTCTCATATACCACTGATTAAATTATAACCTGGTTCAGCTACTTTAGACACTTGATAACACACCTTATGACCCAGCAATTTCACTTTTAGAAATATCTGCTAGAGAAACTCTCGCATATTGTACAGGAAACATGTATAAGTATGTACTCTGCAGGACTATTTGTAACAAAAAAAAACTAGAATTTTAAGGTAACTATCAATAAGGAACAGATAAACTGTGACGTAGTTATAGGATAGATTCTTACATAGCTATTAAAGCAAAACTAACTAAACTAATCCATCCATTGAGCAATCACTCTACCTACCTACCTGAATATGGATGAATTTAAAAAATGATGGTGAGTGAAAAAGCAAAATTACAAACAACATAAAAACAGTGTATTTATGTGTATGAGTCCAATTATACACAAAATGAACTGAAGAATATACACCCATTTCGTAATGGGGGATACTCAGGAGGAGAATGGGACTTGTGGAAGGATCCAAGGGTATTATCCACCCTGTAATGTTCTACTTTTTATTTAAAGAAATGGATTTGAAAAAAATATCAAAAAATGTTAAGGAAAATCAATTCTTAGTTGTGGAAATACGAATATTTGTTATAATACTCTCTGGACTTTTCTGTATATTTTTCAACTTCTTGATTAAAGATCTTAATCTGATTACCAATTTAAAATATTGCATTTGCTACAACTTCAGTATCTGAAAACCGTACCTCAATTCTGAAATCACCATTTTATTCGTCTCACAGCAGCCAATGTAACTGTCTTCCTTGTTTGACAAAATACTCATCTGATGCTTAGAAAGAGATGATTTAAAACCAAACATTTCTCTTTTTAACTGCAAGTTTAAAAACAAACATATATAAACTTATAATATCTATGTTACAATTTGTTTTATGACAAACCCCAAGTTTGAAAAACTGTGTTTGAAAAATTCAATAGAAACAATCTAACACTTACCAATAGGAGAATGTATATGTTCCTTATGAAATATTAACATAATGGAAAAACTACAATAATTAAAATAAACCTGCATCATATAAATTATTACAGAGACATCACATAACATAATATTGAGTGAAAAACAACAGAAACACATGTAGTATTTTCAAAAATCCACTGAACTATATATATACACATATTTCTAGATACATTCATATATGACAATATTTAAAATACAGAGGACACCCATGGATTTCAGAACAGTGGCTACCTCTGAGGAGAGAGGAAGGCAATGGAGAGCTAATGAGGTATATAAATAAGGCTTTATTTCCCTATAAAATTTTAATCTAAAAATATCTGAAGTAGATATCAATATGTTTCCCAGATTTAGCAAATATGCTACATTGGTCTCTATATATATTCCATATGTTGGGAGAAATAGAGAATTTTTTAAATTAGCTGTGAAAAGGGGCAAGGTAAGCACTTACTGACTACTGCCTTCAACCTGTAACTAAATCACACTTTCTGGAAATAGAAAAATTCACATTTCCAAACCATGTCACCCAGGATCAAGCATGTATTACCACACCACTCTGAGAATCACATATCAATTAATTCTTGACACTGAGTTAAATGGAAGTATCAATTTAAAATGAATACTACCTAATCTGATTACTATCAAATTTCAAAAGCGAACAGGACATTAAAACTCTAAGCAAATAATCAGTATTCTAGGAAAGTAGATACAGCAGAGGGATGAGAACCAAGAATCACACATCCTAGTTTTAATTTTGCCACTAGCTAGCTGGACAAATTATTTACTTCCTTGAGTACATTTCTTTACCAATAAAATGACGATACTAAACCAGATGATTACTAAGGTCCCTTTCAGCTTCATAATTCCACGACAGTTTAAAATTGGTAAGCGTCTACCATCCATCCAAATGTGAAACTAGCCATGACACATTTATCTACCTTTCTCTCATCTCACTTTTATTTTGAACCTATCAATAACAAATTTCTAACACAGGTATACTTACCTTCTTCCTAATCTCCTAATTATAATATGGTCATCGGTCATCTATATAACTCATAGAGAAGCTACTACCATACAAACATTTTAATGTTCTGTGCAATTCTAATAGGTATATGAAAAGTTAAACAACATAGTCAATAGGGAGCTGCAAATTAAAACCACAGGGTGATACCAGTTCATACCCACTAAGATGACTATAATCAAAGTGACAGACAGTAACAAATGTTGGCTAAGATGCAGAGAAACAGAAATCCCCATATATTACTGGTGAGAATGTAAAATGGTGCAGTCACTTTGACAACAGTTTGGAATAAATTTACTCATTTGATTCAGCAATTCTACTTCTGGG